CAGATGGAAGAATGCCTTAGACACCGACTGAATGCTACAGGAACCAGCTTGGGTTCAGCATATTTAGCTGCACTGCATTTTCCCGCACACTAGGACCCAAATTGAAGACTTGAGCTTACTAGGTCAGGCCAGGAAGCTATCTAAACAAAACAAGGGACAGAAGCCAACAGTGCACCAAGCTAGCAGGTCTGCCACCCCCACAGCCAAGTGCAACGGAGTACGTTGTGAACACATGAATCTGACTTGCTCCGCAAGGTGCAACACAACCACAATGGGGATTGAATGATTCCTGCAGCCCACAGCTGCTTGTATTTTCACAAGCGTGGGCAAACAAGTTAAAAAAGAGCAGTCCTGTTTCCTTGTAAAACTGAAATTGTCTAAATCTAATTTAGCCTGCTGCCAGGCTGCAAGGGCTTCTATAACATCAGAACCCTGTGAGGAGGCAGGCGCTGCCTGACAAGGACCAACACCCAAGCCCATCGTCCTGCCTCCAGCCTGTGCCCGCCACAGCAGCGGCCAGTGCCTCGCTCTTCCCACCACAACTTACAGAGCTATTAACTACATTGAGATAGGTTAGAGTTGAGCGACAGTTCAAAAGTAGAGTACTTCAGTCAGTCTCGCATAGACACTTGAGAGTACTGCCACTTGTTAAAAGTTATAATAGGAGATTTTAACATATGAATTTACAACATGTGAAAACTACAGCAAACTGGAAAGCATGAATCTAACTTTCAACTCCTTTTCCCTTAGCTTCATAATTTAAAGCCAAATTTCCCTCAAAGGCCAAGCCTCGGTGGTTTAACAAGTTTTTCTGGTATTGGGATAGTCTAATTAATGCAATACAGCAATCCTGAAATAATTTTGGCTGTGTCTGCACTACAATATTCACATGATCATGACTCAACTGCAGCTGAAGCATAAATGGTTCAACACACGAGCAATCTTTGTTCAGTTTTGTTTTGCCTTTGCATAATACTGAAATGATCCTTAAACTGGTTACAGCATGGGCTGTTGTCTATCAAAACAGATCGCCGTAGATCCACTAACTGAATCTCTTCAAAACACATTTTTGCTTCCACTTACCTGATTTATTTGATAAAAAGAGAAACTGTGACAGGTGAAGAGTAGTCAGTTGCCACTGCACAGAGACCATGCTCAGCTAAGGTGCTTCATGATTTGAGAGCTGAATTATAGGCTGCGTTCTTTCACAAAGCAAATAAAAATAACCCCAGCCTGGAATGAACAATCAGGGCTCACAAACTGTGGGACAAACTTACACGGAAGAATGGAATAAATAGGACAGATGCTCTGAACCACAATGACAGGGTCGTCAGGTAGCTTTACACCTACAAAATCTTCCGTATGAGGTCTTACCCTCATTTTCCCCCTTCCCCAGGCTTTATGCAGTTGTCACCACTGGGTAGAAACCGCAGAACAACGTTTCAGGACAGCAACTCCAAAGTCAACAACAGCTGAGTTTCTGCAACTGCGCCCACATGAACTGGGTGCAATTTGCCCTCACTCCCCCAACCCTGTGAGGGCTGAGCTATCAGCTGCCAAACTTAAAGACTTCATAATCTATCCTGATTAAATGTGCATATTTGCATCAGCACTAAATAACAATCTCCACAAACACCTCCTTGCAAAAATGCAAGGCCATTCTGCAAACACTCAGGCTTACCTGATTCTGTAGTTTTTGACTAAACTAAAGGCTTAGAAAATGGACTTGATCAAAACTCAACTCTTGCCTATGTTTTCTGATTCCTTCTCTTTAATTTACCACTACTTGCCACTCTCATCTCCTACCATTTATCGTATCAGTTGATACAGTGATAACACTCCCAGCACTGCACAGTTAGAATAAGGGCTTAAAGCAGGTAGGGGTCAGTCATTTTTGAAATGTGCCGGGTCCTGCACTCCAGTCACAACAACCCCATGCAACACTACAGGCTTGGGAAAGAGTGGCTGGAAAGCTGCCCGGGGGAAAAGGAACTGGGGGGGCTGGCCGGCAACCGGGTGGACATGAGCCCGCCAC